CAAAGCTTTTCTGTGGATGTTGGCTGCTTTTTGTTCCATTCTCTGTCACATTGCTTTAATAATATTAAGGTTCAGGCTCTGTGGAGGCCAGTCCATGACTGAAAGTGTTTTTTTTTCTATCCAAATATGCTTTTATTGGCAGTGTGTTTCATCACTGTCATGCTGAAAATAAAGCCGTTCCCAGTCAGATTCTTCCTACATCCAAAATCTGACTGCACTTTTCTTGGTACAGTTTTAGATTAGGCACTGGAGCCATGGTGGAGATGAGGTAAGAGTGGTTGATCCAAAATTTGGGAAGATTGTTTTTATTGGTTTGAGAGGGGTTACTACAAGACATTCTCCAATGATTTGCCAATACAGCCACAACTCCCACTACCCACTGTGAGAAAACTTTTGGTTTTTGTGTGCTGCTTCTGAAAAGGCACCGAGGCAGAGCTGGCACCTCATCTGAAATCTGCTATTTCAGTAACTTGTCCTCGTCTCTCCACCAGATGAGACCTGGGTGGGCGTTTACACCACGAAGGACTGCTACCCAGTGCAGGAGACCTACACGAGGAACAGCAGTGTCACCACCTCCACCCGCTTCTTCAGCCTGGAGCTGGGAATCAGCGACCCCAACGTTTTCACCCCACCGAGCACATGCCAGTCAGCCCGGCCTGAGAGGATGGTCGACCTCGAGTGCTGAGACCTCATCAGATCTCACCTTTGACCTTAAAAGCTAAACTGCAGTTTAAGTCTGAAACCGCTTCCCTGTTTAGTCATTCACTATTGAAGTATACTGACATTTTGTTTGAGGTAAAATTACAACTTTACTTTAGTCTGAAACCAGTGCCACAGTTTCAAAATTCTCTACTACAAGAGTAGCACTTACAGTAACTCATTCTGCATATGCCCTGTCAGTTAAATACTACTAATATATAACTACTACAGTTCAGCGCTTCCCAAACTATGGAATCAGGACCCTCCAAAAGGTCAGAAGATGAGATCTGAATGGTTTTAAGATGATTCATGGGAAAGACAAATCGTTACTATTTTGTAACCTGCTTTTATTTTGTGACTTGTATCTTTAAATTTCACTACGACATTTGGGATACTTGTATGAAGCATGATGTGTAAAGACTCAAAGCTAAAACTGTCAGATATCACTGGAATAAAACGATTATTTTCCTCTGAAATGTTTGTGAAGTTGAAGTATAAAGTAGTATGAATTAAAATACTCCGTACAATTACCATAAAACTGGATACAACACTTTATGAATGCAGTAGCTTTCTATAACTGTCAGACACTTTA